TTTGTTTTTATATTAAGGGGGCATCAAAATTTTGGAGGTGTCGAGGTGGGGCATGGAGCAAAAAAGGTTAAGAACCACTGATCTAGTCTCTCACTGCTAAATTATGGACGGCTAGCGCAAATATCCCTGGCCCTCCCAGGTTCAAAACATGAGCCGAATCCAGATGATGAAGAAGAATTTGTGAAGTCTGCTTATCTCACCTATTTATTTAGAACAGTACAAGCTGTAGGTATTAGACTATATTTTCGAATTTTAAACTCCATCCCTGGTTAAGGGAGAAATTATTTTTTTACTTTTTTTTTTTTTTTACTACACACAAGGAAAGGTGGCAAAATTGTTTTACTTTGCGAAAATCGACGGATTTGGTAAAACTGAGATTCTGTGCTTTTATCCTACAAAGCAAAGTAAGAGGAAATAATATTTTTGTGTGCGACAAAGAAAATTGAAACTGATGGGCAAATTTCTTTATACATAATGAGCGAACGTGAAATGAGTTTAGTAAAACATGGCCAAACTTGGAAAAATCCCGAACCAATACTTTAGAAATAAAATATAAACTTGAATGTAGATGAAGTTTTAAAGATTTATTACCTATATTATGTTTGATGACACGATATACCTGAGCTTGATCTTACCAGAGAAATTTTACTCGAAATATTAAAAATAGTTAAGGGACCTGGCATGACCTGGTGGTTAGGGCACTCTACTTTAAATCTAAGGGTCGCGGGTTCGAGTCTCCATCGCTCTTTAGGGTTACGTTCAGAATCAGCCAACCAAATGTTAAAACTTTTAGCTAATACAAAATACTCTAGTGACCGATTCCAAAACTAGCATGGGATTAATTTTGAATGCAGAAGATAATAAAAGCGGTTAAGTGCCAGTGAAAGACAGACTTGCTAGTTATGTGATTAACTGAAGGGGAAAGTTAAAGGTAATAGAGTAGATTAGACAACTGTGGAAATATCATTTATTAAGGTTACACATGAAGTAACGAATATTAATGCCACTCTCATGTCTGTACAATTTCAGAACGTGTATGGTTTTTTTGTAATTAAGCACAAATGGGCTATCTGTGCTCTGCCCACCACGGGTATCGAAACCCATTTTCTAGCGTTGTAAGTCCGCAGACATACCGCTGTGTTACTGATGTGGTGTAACTGATAAAGATTGTGCTGTTGGTTTGTGTTTTTTTTTTCATTGCCATTGGGGGACGAAAGTGTATGGCGTGCATTATATAGTCATGAATGTAAACTTTACAAGTTTCAGTAAACATTAGAAGTATTTTATACTAAAAATTCAGTATTTTTTTTTTAAATTAAGTATATTTATCAAATACTTGTCTGTTAAATTATGGAATCAGAGTCTGACTCAGACTCTTACTAGTCTAAGTGCAAAGTGGTTTTCATGTTAAAATCAAAAATACTTTTTCATCTGAGAGTTTTCAAATTTCATTTCCATAAACTCTAAAACCTCCTAAATGAACATCAAAAGTTCTTGAGTAAAACTTTATATTTTATCTGTTATTTTTCCTCTATATAGTTATGAATGTTCATATTCGTTATGACAGTTTATCCAATACACATGTTTTTCAAATGAATTGGCCAATAAACAGGCGTACAACTGATAAGAAACAAAATTTACTGGTTGTACTTTACATTAAACATGAATAAAACATAGTAAAAGTAACCACGTATTGAGAAACAAAACAAATAAGGTAAACAATTTGCAGTGATCATTCTACTCAGATTGTGGTTTAAATAAGACAGTCAAACGTAAACACTGTGATATATTAACTAAAATCCCCAGGAAGATTTAACACTCGTAGCTCAAAACATACGGTGCCTATCCATCTTTTTGGGGCTCCATCTAGCGAAAAGTCAGGGACGGTAATTGATGATCACGTCTACTTTGTTTATTTTGTTCGTTTCAGTTTTGTTAATTGTATGAACGAAGGTCTTCAGCTATAGCCTGGAGCCAGTAACAAACACAGAATGAGAACAGACCCAGCCGGTCAAACTGTTATGTGACGAAAACTGACCAGTCAAAGAAACGAATAGAAAAGCCCTTTTAAAATGAAAAATGCTTTAATTAAAATTGAACAAATAGCAGTTGGCAGCAAACTTATGGATTTAGCAGCGGTTTGAAGAAGACGCTACATGAACACATTGTAAATAGCAGTTGTTAAACTGGGGGGATTGGCGCCTTTAAAAAAGGAACAAAAACTATAAATCTTGAAGGAGGAACATATTTTTGATGGGGGTTATTTTCAAGCTTTTTTGACTGTGTTTGTATGAGTGAATTTTTCAAAGATGAATAGAAAAGACGAGCTGTTTGTAGTTTTGTTATCGAAATGTTTTTACACTCGCTTGTGAGTTGGTTATACTCGCGAAGAAAAAGGAGAAAATACTTTATACAACATTGTTTTTCTGATACAAATTATCTCAGGTATTAGTATACTAGAGTATTATTATTTCTTTCCAAGTTTGGCATTGGAGAATTTTGTAATTCATCTCACATGAAATGTTATATAATTTATTATTCCAGAATGTCAGGCCTCCACCACGCAGCGCTAATGTGTCAAGTGCCAATCATACAGCTTTTGATAGATAACGGAGCCTATGTAGACATAAAAGACAACAAAGGTAAATTATGTATTTTACTACTATCAGGAAAACACACACAAATATATATATATTTGGTTATAAAACAATAAAAAATGTTTGAGTTTCGAGACGAAAACATTAAAAAGATACATACACGTTACCGACAGAAAATCTAAACAACTTTTAGTTCTGATTTTGTAATTTTACAATACTTTTCTTTACAAGTTTGTTCAACTTATTTTGAGTTAAAGGATGCTTATAAAATATTCTTGACGTGTGTAAGATATAACGTGACTTATAAAATGTTTTGGCCTGGCATGGCCAGGTGGTTAGGGCGCTAGACTCGCAATTTGCGGGTCGCGGGTTCGAATCCCCGTCACACCAAACGTACTCACCCGTTCAGCCGTGGGAGCTTTATAATATGACGGTCAATCCAACTATTCGTTCGTAAAAGAGTAGCACAAGAGTTGGCGGTGATGACTGGCTGCCTTCCCTCTAGTCTTACACTGCTACATTAGGGACGGCTAGCGCAGATAGTCCTCGTGCAACTTTGCGCGAAATTCATAACAAACAAACAAACATAAAGTGTTTTCTGTTATTTAATGGATTTCGCACAAAGCTACAAAAGTACTACTTGTACGAGTCTTCCATAATTTTTACTTATAGACTAAAGAGAGGTGGCTAGCCTACACTCTCATCTATTGGGTTACTTTTCTGAAACCGAATAGTAGAATTTGACCGTCACTCTTATAACACACTCACTGTACCTTAGCTCAGAACACGATTTATTTATTGTCTTTACCGTGTGGCGAACAACAAAACCCCCATCTCCACTCTTATAACACACCCACTGTTCCTTAGCTCAGAACACGGTTTATTTATTGTCTTTACCGTGTGGCGAACAACAAAACCCCATCTCCACTCTTATAACACACCCACTGTTCCTTAGCTCAGAACACGGTTTATTTATTGTC